CCGCTGCCGCCGCCCCCCCCCCGTGCGGGCAGCCCCCTCCTCCTGTCTCTCCAGGTGTCCCAGGCCGGGCGGCTGCGGCGCGGCCGGCGGCAGGATGACTGACACCCGGCGGAGGGTGAAGGTTTACACGCTGAACGAGGACCGGCAGTGGGACGACCGGGGTACGGGGCATGTGTCCTCTGGCTACGTGGAGAGGCTGAAGGGCATGTCCCTGCTTGTCAGGGCAGAGAGTGATGGTAAGTGTCTGAGGCTGCGGCACTTCCTTGCTGTGAAAGCATCTGGGGCTTGGCCTTCTGTATTGAGCCTGGCCCCTGCCCTTCATCTGGGATCCCTGAACCAGCCAGGTAACAGCCCTGGGTCACTCCTGTTAGGCGCAGAGATAGGGCTGGAGTTTGGCGCCTCGCACAAACATTGTAGTACGCACAGTGTTTACACTGAATACGCGGGCACTGGCCTGCCTGCCAAATATGCTCTGTTCTGGTTGCAGGCTGCAAACCAAGCTGTCTTCTACCTCGGCCCACGGGATTGTCTTTGTGGGAAACGTTTCCCCGGATCTCTTCTGGAAATGGCAACAGGCTCCTCCTGATGGAAGGAACTGTTCAGAGTTTTATTAGTGTCTTTACATCCGTTCTGTAAGCTTAAAATGCAAAAGCGCATCTTGTAACAGATTCACACATGCTGTAGCATTGCTGGTTTCAAGGCAGTACAAAAACACCTTTTGGGTATCTTTTTTTTTCCTCCTGTTGGACTAGCCACAGTGCTCAACACTCACCAAAACCGATTTTGAGTCGCTGCATAATGCTTCATTTTAAGGGAATTTATGAATTTATTACCTATTTGTCAGGCACTCCAAACATGTTTCTCTAGAGCACTGTGTGCAGGTTTTATGTAAGAATTATCCATGGCTATTGGATCAGTGAGTTAATGGTTGTTGTGGTTACTACAGATTTAATTTTAAAATACATCTTACTTAATAGTGGTATGAAGCAGGAAAGAAGATAGATTTAACTTGTTAAACCTCAAGTTTATAGTTGTGAGAGCCTTCTGTCCTGTGGACCATCTTGCAGACTGCTGTTGGTTTTAGGCAGCAACCAAACTGAAATTAAAGCTAGACAACTTCAGTGAGGTCACAGATTTCAGCCAGTGGAGGGAAAGGTCCTGAGAACCTTCACCAGAGGAGGTCACAAGTTAACATAATCGTGAAGGACTTTAAATTTAGGAAGCTGATAATCAAAACTCTTCCTGATTGATTTAGTTAATGATAATTTAGCAATGTGGAGAATAACAAACTAAAAAGCTGGAGATATATATATATGAAATAGGTTTTTACCAAATCATTTCAAGACTGTCTTCTATTAGCCCTTATGAAATAAGACAGACGTTCAAGCCTGGAACAGACTTCCACTGTTGAATCTCAATACTAGAGTGGAGAGGTAGAGGGGAGAAACCATTATTAATGCATCTAACCTGGCTTACATAAGTGTTTATTTAGCATCTTTATAATTGCTATAATTATAGCACATTCTGTCTCCATGACTGCTGTTGAAGACCCTTAATAAATAAGTAGAATAAAACTGAAACACCTCACAAAGGAATGAAATTGAAACATAGAGTTAAATGTATAAAATGGAGTGGGCTGAATTTGACGTGTCAACAGAGTCTGTTTTAAACTACTGTCTTTGCATTGATTTCAGTAGAATCTGTGTGTTGTCTCAAGGCAGAATCGAACCTAAATAACATTCAAGTTGGTAGTTTTTAAAGTGGGAGTAAGATGAAGTATTGTAAATAATGTTTTAATGTTTATTTTAGCATGACTAAATGCCCATTTATACATGTTATATTTTCAAAAAAATATGTAACTGTCCAACTGAAAGTGTTCACACTTGTTGCTTTCAGTTACGGTAGTCCTATTTGATGAGATGTCACACCTGTTGTACCTTTTACAGTATATGCAGTTTGTGAGATTATTGAATAATGAAATCCTCTGCACAAAGTGTTTGTGGCTAATACCAGTAGTACTTTGGTAACTGTTACTTTTTTCCCCACGCTTTACCATATCAGACAAGACCAGAACTGTACAATGGTCTTTCCAAAAATAAGCTACTAGAAATTCGGGTGTGTGCCTTTAAACAAGGAAATGGAAGGAGCAGAGGGCCCAGTCCTTTGGGAGCTGAACTGGTCTTCCCTTCCCTTCTTGTTGACCAGTCCAGTAAGCCAAACTGGCTGGCCATTAATTCTCAAGCCAGGTGGGCAGCCAGCAGTACCTGCTGTGTCCCACAGCTAGGGGGTTAACAGAGCAGTCATAGCTTTTTGCTTCTTTTTCCCCTGTCACTGCAGATGTTTTCATTGGGGAAAAAAAATACCCTACGTGTATTTTCAAGGAACGATTTTTTTTTTTTCCATTTCTACCTCTTCTCCCTTTCTCCCTCCCCCACCCCATTCATCTCAAGAAAAGGTGTGTCCTGTTCCCAAAAGGGCATGTGATACCCAAGAAAATATGATATGTAGCTGTCTGTTTTAAGTTTTAACAGGCTAGAGCATGAGAGATGATGGACTTAATTCTCTGTGTTATTCCTAAATTTAAGCAAGCAAATTAACCAGGTAGTTTCAGTATCAAAGTCAGCTGTTTGCAAGCCAGTCTTAAAGGCTTGCTCTTATGTAATGACTTCAATAAATGTCAGTGTAATGTGCAGTATTTATAAATATGAGTAAATAATTCTTTAAAAATAGTCAAATCATATTTCTAGTGCATAGGTATGACCGGTCTTAATTTGACTGCTGCCCCTCTCTTTGTCTCCACATCCCTATTAGTTCAGTGTTTGCTCTTTGCTTTCTGTTGCTCCCTTTTTTGCTTTGGCATTTATTTCCTTCCTCCTTTTGATTCCTTTTTTCCTGCAGTTTGGGGTTGTGGTTTGGTTTGCTTTTGGTAAGGTAGTGCACCTGTTTCAGTTTACTTAGGGGAAATTGATGGAGATTGCTGCCTTCCAGATGGGTCAGAGAGAGAATGCAACCAGCAGTCCATTTTATCTACTGTCTGGTCAGCTGGTACAGCCACTCACAACAGCTAGAACATTGGAATCACTGTATTTATATCAGGTCAGTAGGGTTCATGTTGTCAAAGAAATGACAGTTGACTAGTTAAACCCAGATGCATTCCAAATTGCCTGCCACAGTTTTTAATATTACTATACTTAGTTTGTTGGAGAATTGATTATGCCCTGAAATATCAGGGTTTATAGCACTATTGTTTTAAACCCACCTGTTGTGACTTTAGAAGTTCATGTCATTATTTGTCAATCCTTTACTTAGGTCTTGTAAATCTCTTTTTAATATTAGCTAGTAATGATGAGCTGAGCCTGTTGGTTGTTTCTGAGACAAAAAGTTGGTTTCACTTTCATTCTGTCCCCTTGTTCTCATTGAAGTCATGGGGAGGATAATTTCTGTTCTCTCTACCATTCATTTATTAATTACCAGTATTGTATTTTCCCTCTTATTCAGTTGACAAAAAGACCACCTTAAAGTCTTTTCACATTTTTAAAAGTTCTTTGTCCATTTGCCCACTTTTGGTTTCTGTTATATTTGGTTTTAAAGTTGAAAGACCTGAATTGAACACAATAGTCCACATGAGACTGTACCATTAATTTATGAAATTTTCTATTTCCAGGGTTTAAAAAATTTATCAAATGTCTATTAACTTGAGGACTAAACCTACCTACCGGGCCAAAATATGCAAACTTCCTATGCCGTGCCTTTTTCAAACCACTTCCTCCCCCGCACTTCCATGGCCCAAAGACCCTATTGTTCAAGTGACTAACTTCTACATCCTTCTTAATTCTGTGCCACCCCTGTGATTAAATTCTGCACAGCCCTCCCTTTAATAGTAGTGTTAGCAGCTAGGTCTACACTCCTGTAACTATAAGTGAGCAGAAGCTGTACTTATTCTCTCCAAAATGAGGAACTTGGGTGCTATCCCTGGTCTATCTCATTTTCTAAACACTGTTTGCTTTTCTGATTGCTACTCATCTCTAGACCATGACAAAGATATACCGCTACTGGAGCTGGTTATAGATTTTGTTCAGTTAAACATTCTAATTGGCCAATGCCGATTCATAGACGTGTATTCGTTTGAAAATTCTTAGAGGGAGGCTTTCTCTTGTCCAAGGTAGAATTTTTGTCCAAAATGAGAGAAAAGAAATGTTTGTAAAGTTTTCCTTTTGACTCACTTTAGAAATCAACTGAGAAGCATCTGTGAAAGGTTTGGGCTATATTATCACTATTTATGGAAAAATAAATATGTAATTATACTTGTGATCCATTGGCTATAATTGGGAGTAATGGACTGAAGTTAAAAGGAACATCTAAGATGAGGGGTGGGGGAGAAAAATGTTGACATTTATTAGTCTTTCCTTTGAAATAGTATGTGCTCTGTACCATATGTTCTTGGGCCCTCCTACAGACCATTTTATAAGATTGTTTTATGGATGGGACTGAGCAAGTTCTGCTGTCACAGAATTAGCAGCAGAATCTCCCTTTGCCTGTATATTGCAGAATTGTACTCCCAAAGTGAGTGTAAATTATTAAAAAAAAATCCTGTTCTAAAGCTTCTGTTAGCTGAAATATTGAGGATGTATGTAGTGTTTACCAAGTCTACAGACAGTCATGTGGTATTTAAGAGATGATTTCTAGGATTGTGAGGAAAAACAGCTACCTACATACCAATATTTTTGTGTCAGTCATGTGCGTGTGCATGTGCACATGCACATATGCATGGCCTTGAGCTTTAGGAATTTAAATTATGATTCCTTGCTCGACTCTAAAATAGGTTTATATGTTTGTTGCTGACGCAAATTCAGCATGCTTAGTGATTAACAACCATCCCCTTTTCAGCTCTTAATCTGCCCTGAACAGTCCAATTTATGATGGGTTCTTTCTATTTTGTGTCCAGTTAGTATCAATATAGCTTCTGCAGACCAAATAACAGCTCTTCACAGTGGATTCCCTGTATTTTTTTAAAATATTTCTTCAGTAACATCCACATATTCATGCTAGCCTTAAGTAGGTTTTTACAGATGTCACTTAGTGGGTAATTTATACTTCAGGACAAATTTTTGTGGCCATATAAAGAAAAAAATCCAGCTTGACTCTAAGACAAAGGTGAGTTTTTTCCAATTGATGATTTAAAAGAACTTCTGGAAAAGCAAATCACTCTTGTATGGAATCATTCTGACATAAAACA